CCTTTCCAACCTTAGTGATTCTGTGATAACAGATAGAATTTGACATTCACATAGTCATCACATTCTGAAAAAAAAAAAAACCCTGTTTAACCTTAGTCAGAGAACTAACCTGCAACACAATGAAAACTAAGTACTGCTCAATCATGTTTAGTCACCGGGGTATGTATATTCCTGTCTATGAGGTCTCCCATTTTTAAACACTGACTGGCATACAGCAAAGCAAGTGCTACATGTTGAAGGCTTTTTACCTGAACTATAGGACAATCAAGTGAACATTACAGAAGTGTTTGCAACTAAATCAATTTACAACCCATGAATACATGCAACTCAGCTGTCGAACTGTGAAGCACGCTTTTAAGAACTCCTAGTAATAAAATATTGAGACTGGCAAAAGCTATAAGGAGCATTAAGTACCATTAGATCATCTTTCCTACTTCCATTGAACTTAAACTTAACTGCTTTCAGATTTGTTTCCAAAACAAAGAACTCCTTTTAGCTCTTCTGCACTTCCATAGCAGAAATAGCCATAAACAGAAACTGTAAATAGCAATTTTCATAGCCTTCAGATTAATTCCTGGGGAACAAATAGCAGGTGACCTACTTTACAGGAAATCCTAGACAACATGCACATTACTTAAATATCAGTGTCCCAGAATAGTGTTACAGTTAGCCAGTAGGATGACAAGTAGATGTGGAATTTCTGATAATATTAATAAAAATTTCTTTCATGTTACAATAGAAGCAAACTGGGATATAAGATTGTGAGTTTCAGTTCAGTTCTGAAAACAAAAACTAATGCAAAAAAAATTTCAAGGAGCCTCACAACACTTTCGTAGATCCTCTGAAAATATGATTAATTTTCAAAAGTTAATGTATCTGTACTTTTTAGAAAAATTAGTTTTTCACAGTCCTCAACACTATACAAATGTGGACCTTTCTTAAAAATATCTTAGGATTTTAAGAAATCTGAGTGATACTTTGATGGAGGACCAAAAAAGAAATCTACTTTGAACGGGGAAGTCCAACATTCTGTGAGCTCCAGTCCAGTAGAAGTTCTAAGCTTATTTCAAGAAAAACACCAATTGTGATCGTGTTGCACTTTCACAATCCTCGTCACATAATCCTTAACAATTGCCCTTCCTTCTCATTACAAACGAGAGAATAGCATAGCAACACACAGCAAGGTATTCCTTTGCCGCAACACAAACACAATGGTAGAGCAACAGAACCCACAAAAAATGTCAGCGTACGCAAAGCCTTTACGTGACACACCACAATAAACCTTGCTTACCTTAAGAAACCCATACATTCCATAACCATCAATATTTGATAACAAGGTCATATAGAAAATATTCTTATCCAAGAGAAGAGTATCAATACAAGCACTGTATTTAAAATATTTACATCAGCAAGCTTGTTTTGAATCGGGGAAGCAAGTGACAGCAGTATGAATGAAAGGAGAATTGATAAAGATTTGTTTTGATTATTTACTTTTAGCACAAGCCTTCCAAAAATTCTCTAGGAGTAACTAGAAAATCACTATTAGAAAGAACTGGCCAACAAATTTTTTAAAAAAAGCGAAGGAACCTTCTATTTTTAATGATTAAAAAAATAGTGAGACTGCCTTCTATCTTTTAAAGTGCTGCTCATCAACACCATTCTTGAACAGCTGCATGAAGTATGACACAATCTATAAAAATGCTTGGAGTTTTATCTAAGGAATATAATTCTCTGATAAAGAACCCCAAAGTTGCTACTTTACAGTCAGAATATTACACTTCTTGCTATGGGTCAGTATTTCAGAAGCTTACATACATGTGAAAATTAGCACTTTAACTTGTTTTCACGATACTTTATTTACACTTTCAAGAATTTGAAGTAGAAAATGAAACAAAGCCCAATGGAAAAGGAAAATGGAAGGTTCCAGTGACTAGAAAATGAGGAAGAAAAAACAGAATATAAAACCAGAAATAAACATGCAATTCAAATATATTTTGCTTGTACTCTATCAGATAACATAAGCAACAGCAGAAGTTAAAAAATGATACACATATGAAGACATGCTTACTTTATCTACGCAGTCATCAAAAAATGCAAGGCTTGCATCCTTATCACTGACAAAAGAACACTCTTCAATAAAGCGAATAAACATTTGAGTTTTGGTCATCAGTGTGTAAAACTTCTGATGTGAACGATCTCGACTTTTGAGGAAACCTATAAAGTGAAATCAGAAGCATGTAAGAATGCTCACCAAAAACCTCACCAAAAGTCAGCATACATTCTACCAATGAGAAATTACCTTTCTGTAACCTTTGCCACTATTTTTTCTGCACTCACATTTCTACTATCATTCATAATACTAACACTGCAAATGTTTTTATTCTTTAAAGAAGAGAGAATCTAAAATAATAAATATAAATAACACAAGTTTATGACTCTTCACCTTGTAGTTCAAAGAGAGAACTTGCGTCTGTGGCTGTTTCGGAGGGTGCCTCTGTTATTGGCCTGAGATAAGACCTGTAACCTTTTAGTATTGAGGCCATGAAACACAGAAATGCTTCCTGGATTTCCAAGTCTAACAGATGCAATTTCTTCCCAGAATTAAAATCATAGTCATTCATTGCTAATTCCATCAATGCATCTTCTCTTGGTCTCTGTTGCACTGTGAACAAAACCAACATTATAACAACATTTTACTTCCCACCCACTCCCAATATTGGTGAAAAAAAATTTCTCTTTATGCTACTAGATCCACTAATTACTGAGGTCCATTAATTTTGGAACAGATTAAAATATATGCAATTAAATTCAATCATGACAGCTTGACCTTATATAGCTCATGTACCTCTGGATAATACCAGAAGCAAGACACATTTACTTCGCAGGACATTAGTTACTACAGCAACAGAGAGAATCAGTATGGACAGAGCTTTAAAAAACCCTCAAAGCAAGCTGTAAAAACATGTAAAAATTTATATAAGGAGCTGATTAAAGAAACATTTTTTTATATTGTGTGTATTACTTTTTTTTAATGTGTGTACTTTTTTTTTTACATGTGTACTACTGTTTTTTTACAGTGCCTTTCATTTCAAAGTGTTCCCAAAAAGCTGACTATACATATTAAGTACCTATGTACATAAAAACCCCACCACTCAGATGCAAAGTGGAGCCATCAAAGCACAACACAATGCAAAATGCTGATACAGAGAAAAAGCAGGCTTTTTTCTTTTAATGATCTAGCAAAATCCCTATACTTAAAGTAGATGCTTGTATCAACGTTTTAAAGCCATCAGAACTTTAGCTAAGACTTCACTGCTACACACGAAGTATGGTAACATTCTAATAATGTCTCAAAAGAGTGAAAGGATGGATCCATGACTGTCTTTCCACATAATATAATTACAGCAAACCATCTATTGATACTATGATTAAGCAGTTTACTCTGTAATAAGAATTTAAGATCAGTACCACTCTATTTACATAGATTATAGAGAATATAAGGCTTGAAATTTTTTTGTAAAGAAATCCTCACAGTAAAATATATAAAAATTTTGAAGCAACAGACAATTTTTGTCACTTATTAGCTACACACGTTTTTTTGTGCAGCACACACCAATAAACTTCTGTTTCTGCACATTCTAATCAGGACACTATTTAATTCTAGTGACCTCAACAGCCAAGAAGGTATAAACAGCCTTTAAAAAAGTGCCCTAAACCCAGGTGACAGTTACAAAGATCTCATGCAATATGCTCTCCAAGTGTGTCTCAAACATGCAGTGTTGATCAACCCCATCCTTTTCATATTCTGATTTAAGTCTTAACCACTTGCTGTCTCTGCCACAGCAACTTGATTTTACAATTGTATTATTGCTCCTTAACGCTCCTTCCAATGTCTATGGAAATCATCTTCTAAGCAGACACGTAATATCAGGGAGCTTATGGACCTCCTTCCCACCTCACAAAGCCTATTAGCTATGATGCCCAAGCACATCAGTTGGCCTTGACTACATATACATTTCCAAATGTTTTGTTTTAAAAAATTGCATTCACATCAACCCGATCCATTTTTCTGCTTTCTCACATTAAGGTTCAATATACCTTGCTCTGCAATATTTAATGATTCTATCAACAACCAATTTTTTCTTAGAAACGCCCAGTAATTTTGCTATACATTTAAAAAAAACCCAATGTTTGTAAAACATTTGTTATTTCCATCTTAAAATTTTAGGTAAAGTACTATCAGCTTGAGGGTCAAAGTTAACTCAATTGTCAAGACATCAGAAGCCTTGAGCAAGCTTTGAGGACAAAACAAAGGTCTTTACTAGGTCCTGGCCTACTCTTTGCTTTACTATTCCATTCTCATAAAAGCTCTGCATTTTTGGGGGTACAGAGATAACATCAATACAAAGGGCTATCTATTAAGAACTGCCTTATATATATCAAAGTCTCCTCTATCCCAAAAGCCCCTAAAACCAGGTTCTAATCTATGGACTTAAAGGACAGATTTTGCCATTCTGTAGAAAAACATTATGTTGAGTGTAACAGGTGCGTTAAGAACATGTGGCACACTATATCCAATGTAAATCTGACTATGTACTTTCCTACTCACATTCTGCCAGTTGCTGATATAAATTACTTAAAGTGTTCATCAGATTTTTACAAGGTTTCTTTGGTAAGATCTTCCATGCAATAGTTTTCTTATCTCCAGTTCTGGAAGGAAAAAAAAAAGTATGAGTATACACTGGAATATATATATCTCTAGGTGTATATAGGTCTCTATTCAGAGGATTCTTCTTTCCCAACAAAGAAATGGGAGAACATATACAACTTGCTCCATTAAAACAGGACTGAGGAGGACTGAAAACCAACCAAAGTCAAACTTGATTTTCATACAGAGATTTGATCACAGCCATCCAACCAATGCCCCATATTTCAGGATGATGATTATGCAGCCATACTCTTTAGCACTGAAATCAATCCACTTAGAACTCATGAAAGATGGATTAGTAGTAGTAAGCACCTGCCATTGCACAAGCAACCACCACACATACTATGTTCTGAGCTGTAATTACTTAAACTAGGATGGACATAATGACTAGAATGCTCGTAGTAACCTGAAATCAATTTGATATGATAATTGCTTTGTGTTTAGTGCATATACATTTGGACTTAACTATATCATTATCCTGATGAAAAAAAATTACAATGTTCTTTGTCAACAGAGGGCACCATCTAGCCTCAAGACCCCATCGGTCACAAAGTTGCAGAAACTGTAAGCATTTGTTTGACACTTTTTTCCGCATGATGAAATGGAATTAATCTGTTCTAAGAAAATGCATAGAAAATCGGCTAAAAGTAGAATGAAAACAGAAATAACTGGAAAATAAAATTTTTTCCCATTAATAAATATGTAGCTAATTAGACAAATACCAGAAGAAATGCACAAACATGTTCCTCTTAACCAAAAAGTAGCAAAACTAAACCTGAAGTTATCGCAGCCTAGTTTGAACTAGTTCCTAAAAACTTGAGAGCAGAACTGCTATACAAACTTGCTACCGGCATAAAATCCATAACAAAAATTTCTATTTACAAATACTTAATATATGTAACCTTCTCTAAATCCACACACAACTACTGAAGCAAAAATAAACCCACGAGTAAGAAAATTTAGAAAGAAAAAAATTTTTTAGTTAGGCATAGTAATGTTGAAAGACTGCTACCAACAGGAGGATGATACCAAGAATGCTGACCAAAGACTTTGAGAAGTAACACTAAGTATATACTGAGTATATTAAACATTATATTGAAATAAAATTCTGAAATACAAGTTTAATGATTTTTGTGTGGTTTAGAATCTTGAATTAGAAGCCTTAGCCACTTCTATTTTTGTATCACATCATCACAAGGAAATAGATAATTTGAGTATCACGACTGTTTCCCAGTGGTTCTAACAGTGCACTGCTATCCCTTAGCAGTATTTTAGATACTAGATAATTAGTATTACAGAAAAATGAAGTACTCTACACAGTTCTGAAGAAGAAATATTAGAATACTGTTATTTCGGTTCATTAATGATGGCATGACTAAGTGTTAAGACTCTCTTGCCCATGAAAGTTCACATCTCATTCTCTACATGAAGTTCCTATACTTCATATTGATATGGAGTATGATTTAATTGTTATAATTTTCAAGCAGATGCCCATATGAAGACACTGGAATTTCTTCAAGACTAAAAGCTGATCATGAAAACCAAAAATGACTATTCTCCTCCAGGGACAACGAAGTGAGACACAATATGGTTAATCCAGGAAACGTGCCAACATGTGCAATAAGATTTTAATGTAACAGAATAAAAGGCAATAATGTTCCATGAGGATTGTACCTCCACTCTGCCATGTTGAACAGGAGATATTTCTAGCATCCTCATTTCAAGAAGGATGATATATTAGAAAGTTCAGAGATTTGAAACAAATAAACCCCCCCAAAGTTTGGTCAAAAAGCTAGGTTTTGCCTTCAAAAACAGGAAGCAAAAAAATTAACATGGAAATACTTACTGAGAAATTGTATTGGTATCTAGGTCAACACAGCTAACGTCTGGTGGAGGGTCATAGAGATCAAAGTATCTTGAATCAATTCCCACTATGAATGGGCACGGTGCACTTAACACATCTGCCAGTGCCAAGGGACAGAGAGGAATATATGGGCAAGGCCAGTGGAAGGGAAATATCATCTTTGAAAATATGCAGAGATAAAAACATAGGTTAAACATGCATAATATAGTCTATGCAAGCATAAACCACACTTTACTAACTGCCACTGCAAAATTATTTAACCTGGCAGGTAATTATTACTGAAATCTAGATGCAGATTATTAAATAAAAAATGCGCTCATTTCTCTAAAACTCAATGTATTTAATTTGTAGGAAGAAAGCTCTTCAGAATAATAAACTGTAAATAGTAGAGGTAGCAAAACAATGCTTAGTGAAGACAGGCAGGAAAAGAATATGTATTTAAAATTCTTCTGCAAGAGAGAATACAGTGCTATTCAAGAAAATTAGGAACTCATAGTCAGTGCATTGGGATGACCACACAACATGCTTTACTTATGCACAAAGAACGAACAACAGTTACTGTTTCTCTTCTGTTTTCATAGCAATATGAAGTTTTCTCTCTAATGATCTTTATTTTTATTCTTATTGTTAAGTAACCTTTAAGCCTAACAGCACTACTACTAATTTTAGATTTTATCTAAAACACCAACTTTTTTCCCACCACTTATAGGCGTATGATTAAAGGAATGTTACTTACAGAGACTAACGCCTCTGTCACACTAGTAAGGACAGAAGGTCGCAATGAATGGATGAGAATTTTATGTTCCGTCACAGCAAACACAAGTAGAGTTACCGCATTTTCAGGTCCTAAATTCTGAAGTAGTGCAGAAAACTTGCCCCCACTGTTACAGAACATAAACAAACTGGTGAGTTACAAGGGACCATTGAAAAAAAGAATGTTCAATAACAAAATAGAAAACAAGGCATTAGAATAGGATTTTATAAACTTAAATCTTCAAATCTTCTTTTTAAAGAAGACTGCAAGGCAGACTGCTTGGTACACTTCACTGTTCAGTGAAGAATGGTTACTTGCCAATAGTAACCATGATTCCTTGAGACTCTTCAATCAGTCTAGACTATTTTCAGGACATGTGCATGATGATTTTTCTTTTTGAAAGCAATTTACAGGGAGACAACATGTGTTTCTTTAACCATTCTCCTACACAGAGACACAGAAGTTAAGACAGTCACACAACTTCAATTACCTTGCAATACAAAAGCTGCACCATTTTGGGAGCAGAGATACCAACTCATAGAAAGGGGATCTAACAATCTATATTCTGCCTCCAGAACCACTTCAATTATTTGAAAACACACAGATATTGTTCATTAAGTATGTAATCTTGTCAGGGTCTAATCACATAAATAAACTTCAGATACACTAGCTACAAAAGGCACCAGACAAGGCAAGTTAATTTGCACAATTACACCTCAAGGTACCAAATCTTTTCTGTAATGTAAATCAGAATACATTTCACAATCAACCAGAAGATACTGCTACTTGCCTCAGTGGAAGGGGTGATGACACAGGTTGGCTAAGAATAAGGTTATCATGTGGAGACAGCTGGAAAAAGATTTTAAAATACATTCTTTTTATTCCAAGCTTTGGAAATATTTATTAGAAATTACACAACAATGACACAGAACATCTAAAAATAAAATTCTAAGACAAACTTTATATAGCCTAGTTGTATAGCACTGTAAAAAGTGGTGCGCAATGCTATGCATCAGTTATCTTTTAGTAAAAACCAGGCAAAGCATGCTCTTTTCTTAGTTAGAATTGAATACATTGCATATTCATAAAGAGGAATTTAAACTACCTAATACTGCAAAAAATTGAATATATTAACTGCTGAAAAATAAAGCCTTCTGTATTTTAAGGGAAGTGAGGACCCATAGTTCATATACAGCTTTCGGAGGCCGGCAGGGATTCTTTTTGGAGTTAGAGAGATGGATAAAATGCATGGAGGGGAGAGATGGCAGGTCATAATGTAAAGTAACATTTTCTTCGGAAGGCATGCGAATTAGGCTCTTAACTGGTAAAAACTGCTCAGCTCAGCTTTGATAGAATCTTTAAAATTTGCATTAGTTGAAGATCCAAGACAAAAAGATCTTACTAATTCACGTTTCTTCCTTACAGTGATATGACATCAAGAGAAATCATTCATATATTCAGCATGAATAGGAGGATTCAAATGAATACAAGAATAGAGATACACAATCAATTTATCAAAGCTCAGCTGACATTGTCAGCCACACTAAGTCCAAGGTAACAAGACATCAGTTAGCTTAACCCTCCCTGCTAAGTGGTCATGCATTTTCTATCTAGTGTATAAAAGCACACGTGCAAGTACAAGCAGCAGCAGTAATTCAGTAAATCGCAGTTAACTTGTACAACTAAGCTGCAAGTTCAGGCAAGTTTTACTGACGTTTCACCTAACACTGCCTGGACAGACGCACAGAAGGTATGACATGGGCAAGAGCCTATGCAGTACTGCTTCCTTGCATATTTTACGTAACAGAGCTTTTGAAGGCTAATGCTGCATTTGCTTTCAGTGACAAATGAGGATGGCCACACCACTCTACGTGCTAGATCTGTCTTCAAGCAAGTCACCTCGTGACAACACACCATTAGCTTGTTCAGTGGAAGAATTCAAAGACCTCATTTTTTCAGCCTGAGGTAAGCTTCACAAGCTACCCTCGGAAAGGAAGCATCGGCCTAATGTCCTATGACTTTTGTGTTTGAGCAACAGCAGACAAACACAATCAAGCATCTATTCAAAGAGCATGTCTCCCTTAGGCAGAAGGGGCACTTACTGCCCCTGTTCCTCAGGGGGAGACACATGCTACTCCCTGTGCTCTTGAAGTTTGCAGGTTGTGAATACGTCATTAGAGCAGGAACATCTGTGTAACAAGGGGATGTAGGACACGGAGAATGGAGTCTAGCAGATTTCAGATCTGAAACAACCTATCACCAGTGGCAGCTGGAAACTGGCAATCAGTAAAACATTCAGGAATGTTCTTAATGGCTATAATTTCTTTGAAACTTAAAAGTCAGATACTTGCCATGTTCTCTCTCACTTGTAACAGATGCTAAGAAGGATCTAAAGAATGGGTTACACATCCAGACTGGCATATATGCAGTTACTAAAATAAATCACGTCTCATTTTCACGAAGCATATAGGCACTTGCAAGACATTCTACAGCAACACATATTCAGAAAGATTTACTAATTATTTAGCAAAAGGCTACCATGTTTTAAATTAATAAGCTTCAGAGAGAAATTACTATTTCTTCAATGAAATGGAATCCTACTTTCAAGAATAGAGGCATTTCCCACACTATTTTTGGGAAAACATCTTGGGTACAGTCACTTCTGATTTTCTTCAGTGCAGTATCAAACACAACTCAAAAGACCCTGAAAGCAGCTGGAAGTACTTATCCATAGACCTCAACTACCACTGCCTATCTTAAAAGCAGTATGTCCTCCATCTGTACTATCAGCTACTAAAGTTATACTAACTTGACGCACACAGTATTTTGTAAATAAGGTGTAACAGACATAATTTCACATCACTTATGTCACAGACTTTGTTCCGGGAGATATGCTTGTGTATACATTGACAGAGTTCCCTAAAAATTCAGACTAAAAAAATTAAATGTTTTTCTCTAAATTCACTTATAGTTCTCTGTAAATGTGTGTTTAGTGTTCCCTAGCACAAATACTTTATTGAAGGTGAATACAAAAATAAACCACCCCAAGATGTAAAAATACAGGGTTTTGAACTGAACTTTTAAATCATAATAAAAGTGACAGAAGTGTCAGATACAGCTTCAGTATAACTGTTCTCCAGCCCCTTTTCAGTAACAGTAATAAATGTCACTTCTTTAGAATATCAAAGTACACTAAGGAGGATCTTTAATATTCAATACATTCTACAAAGATGTAACTCAAGTTTGTATTTACTCTGAAAGAATTCAATGGCATATGGGCTACTACATTAAGACTGAAAACTGCACAGGGCGCTCTATATTTTATTTCATATCAGTAGTACCAGAAAGTAACATCCTTTTGTAATGGCTTGTTCAAAACCACAGGATTGGTAGAACAACTACAACCGGAACAGAGCTGTCTTTTCTCAGAAATAAAATTTTAACGTGTCTCTACCTGTTTTGCCTCTTAGGAGGGGAAAAAAAAACCCTGAAGATTTAATAGCACTTAAAAGCCTTTGAGATATGGATTTCCTCTCTCCTATCAACACAGACACAGGTGAAATTTCAACAGGTAACCTAACTCTAGCAATTATACCATTTCACTCACACACAGTAAAATATGCTATGTCTTGCAGGTAGGACAGCACAAGGGTCATATTTGATAAACTGTGCCTCTGTTGAATGTGCGTAGCTCTTGCTCTTTTCAGTAAGAGCTATCCATTACATAAAGGACAGCATGAAGCCCTCTGGGAAAACGGGTCATCATGGATCTTCACATCTGGTTTTCATTTTATTTATTTATTTTACACTCAGACTTCATACAGTAGCAAGACGAAAACAGTTCAAAAGTTATTGCAATAATCAAACTAGATGCCAACTTTGAGTGGTTTTTCATTAATTTCCATATACTCTGAAAAAAAAAAAATTTAGTTCTAAGCTCACTGAACAGTATCTTGTAATCTCTCATTAAAGTCCTTACCTAAACTGGAAACAGAACAGTGAGAAATCTGCAAAAACTAAGTGTATGAATTTAAGAAAAAAATCCTGAGAAAAATAAATTGAACATAAAAATTACATTTTCCATTTACTAACCTGTTCAACAGCTGTTTTGTCTTCAGTTAAGACATAGCTATTAAGAAGAAATTTACACTTACCTGAACTAGGATTCTTGGCCTCTGAGGGGATGGAAAAGGAACTTTATGCATGAAATGGGAAATGTGTCTAGAAGATAGAAAAATATCAATTTAGTACAAATTATAAGATTAAACTGCTTTACCTCAAGACAAAATTATTGCCACTAAGAGAAGTCATATAAAATTGGCACATACTTATACAAAGACAGCAGCAAAAAACCAGCCCCCAAATCTGACAGGGATATTCTGACCTTGATAATCTATTTTTCTACTAGTGACAAGTAAAATGACAGGCCAGGTTCTTTCAGACTACAAGCTTGGTTTGTGTGACCGAAAAATTACAAGGAGGTTTTTTTTTGTTTTTAAATATTTGTAAAGTAGAAATATTAATGTTTGAGTATCACAATACCATTTTACAACCACACTTCTGAGATTGGCTTGAAATAGCACTATACCTCAGAGACTAGCACTGGTTATTTGGAAAAAAATAGTCACAGCTGAGTATCAAGGACAGTCATTAAGTTCATCCACTTTCTTCATATCCATTTTCTTCATTTCCAAATACAAAATGTTATGTAAGATTTCTGATGAAAAAAGTGTTAAAGTTTTTCCATATACTATAAATACAAAAAATGTTTTTTAAATTTGAGTGAGTTCTCAGTTCTATAAATTGATTAAACTTACAAAAGTTCTAAAAGCCTAGGAGTTCTACGTAATACACGCTTTCACATTAAAAGAAACTACATGCAATCAGTACAAACTTTGGAAGAAACAGGTCATCCATCATAAACCGCATGCTACCGAACATACCTTGCTGTGATTTCTGCAACTCTTACCATCATTATGACACAGACAACCAACCAAATTTTGAAGGAATTCAGAGAAACCCACAAATAAGCATCAACTTACATAGAAACTCATTTTACATGTTTCTGATTCAAAGCTATATATTTCATACTTATATTTCAATGTAGCTGCATATTACGCCATTAGCTACATGCAAGAAACCCACATTTTTACTGTGTTTTTCGGTTTGTGTACTTGTGCTAGGCTTAACTATTTGTTGTAGTTCTATAATCACATAACTGGCATTAACCAGAACCACTGACAGAAGAAGCAGTCTCGTCCCTCTCCTTGGCCACTCCTCAGCTGACCTCCCTCGTGTCAGCATCAATGTCTGTGCAGCCACATGGCAAATGAGAAACGGAAAGGAATCAGGCTGACAACAGGTTTGGGGTTTTGTCTTTATTCCTAGTGTATGAAGATGGTGGCAGAAATACGGAACATACAACAAACATCAAGGGAAAGGCCTGCTGCTTGCAGAAGCGGGGCTGCCTGAAAATGTTCAAATAGGCATGTATGGCACAGACAACGTTGATCATCATTAAAATAGCCGAAGAAACTAGGCTAGATGCCATATTAACTTCATGCAAGACAGTGTAGCTATATTTAAATTATCCACAGTAAATTGACCAGTCCGTTCACAAATCAGAGAAATCAGAAGCAGCAAATAAATCTGTAAAATCAAAATTAATAAAACATCTGTTATACCTACTTCTCATTTTATTCACTCCCAAAACTCCAAAACCAAAAATAGTTCTCAGCTTAAAAAAACAAAAATAATAATAAAAAAATCTTTTAATTATCGGAAGTTTACACTATCAGAATTTTAGAGCAAGTACAGTAAATACAAAGTGGAATAATGAAGTGGATAAACAACCACAACAAATGCTTAATCCATAAAGTCAAAGTCTCATAAAAGTTAATATTGAAGTTTAATCAGAAAAAAGACTGATGTGTAATAAAATAAAAAAGCAAATATTGCATCTGAAATCTGACACATTGAAAAGTTATGTTAGCCTAGAAATTTTAAATGGTATTATGTATCAATTACAGGTATCAACCACTCCATGGACATAAGGATTTCCTCTGCATTTTGAAATGTGAAATCCTTTATGTAAGGAGGAAAATACGTTTAATTATCAAAAATACAGGAAGATTACTAGTGCAAAAAATTCAATCTACTTTATTACCTCTCACTACACAACAAATAGGCATTTGAAAAAATGCAAACCCATGTATTTCATTCTCATAACTTAATGCATACAACATTGAGAAAGGATTTATAATCTTGCTCCTCCTAATCACTATGCTAACGAGTGCAAAGCTAATTAGAAAAGGCTTTCAGAGATACCTTTGCAGGCCCTTAAATCACAAATACAAATCTAGGCTTTTTCAGGAAGTACGTAAAGATACATTTAATTAATGGAGAAAAGTGCTTAATCTAGTGTAACCGTTATATGCAATGTTTGATGACTAAAGCAAAAAGGAAACTTAGAAGTAAAAAAGGGTGCTCATCAACTGAAATTAGCTAGGAATTTTTGAAATTACTTACTTCTCAATGGGGAGGACATGTGGACCAGAAATGGAGTAACGATACAGAAAGGTAAGAAACTTCTTGAAAGCATCAAAGAAAGGCCAGTGAGAGAGCAGACAGATGCATTTATTTGTTTGAACTGTTCTGCAGGTGTCTGAATTTCCCTCAACAGCAGCTGCTAATCCCAGTTGAGATTTTTGTTTCTCTGTGAGATTCTCTTCAGGATACAGTTCATAAAACTGAATAGCAGCACCATATACCTGCAAACAACATACGTGATTTGAAGTCAATAAATCTGCCTTGATCTTCAAAGCAATCTAGCAAACCCCAAACATGCAAGGAAAATCAAGTCTATGTTACTGTTTGAAAAGTTACATTAGTGAACCATCTTTTGAAGCAATCTATTCCAGACTATTCTTATGGCTGTGAAAATCCAGGCTACTATTTATGTAAAACACTTAATATCATATGAGAAAGAGTAATTTATGAAACAATTTAAGTAAGAGAAAAAAAATTATTATACAGAGTACAACTACTGTTGTTTACAGTCAACTGCTCCTACAATTGCCTTTAAAGCTATTTTAGGAATCCTTTAAGCAACTCAAAGCAGTATTCCTCTGACATCCAATTCACTTTTTAGAACAGGTATATACATGTAAGGTTGTTTCTATGCTTGCAATAAAAATAGTATACTTGCACGTATATGCAGTCAGAATTTTTATAGCTCTGTAGTGTCAAAGGCTAACATGATTGGAAAGCAAAGGAATACAAGTTTATATGATCAACAGTCCAGCAGTGAAACAAATGCAAGTCACTCTAAAACTGTCTTTGACTTAAGCCCAAACAAATATATTCAGGTTTGTCTATGAAAATATGTATTACCATAATCCTGAAATGATAAACAACCAATTTTTTAAACTTAAATTATTAACAGTGATTTTTTTTAGGCTTTCAGAATACCTTTTCTGCAGAAGCTCCAGTTAGTACAAATGTAGAAAAAACTGGGAGAGGGTATTTACTGTTAGATGGCCAACATTCAATCGTTGCACCCATAGGGAGACAAAAAAGAGGCACAGATTCTGGTAATGGGAATGATTCATAATCTTCTTCAGGATATCTGCATATTAAACCTATAAAGGCAATTTGTAAAGAGGCAGTTATGTAAGGAATAGCAGAAACATATTTGTAATAGCTCATTCCATAAAAACATGCCCAGAAAAATCATGTGTGAGCATACACTAACTTCAGAAATCAGTAAAGCTGTAAATAGTCAGGCATAGCGCACAGCTGGAAAGGGGCAGCATAGTTCCAAGGCCTAAGGAGAAATCACCTGACTAGAACATTGGACTCAAGTCCTACTTACTATTCTAGGAACTATTCACAACTAATTTATCTTTTTCTGTTTGCAGGTTCTGTGCATCTCAGCTATTATTATAATAGTTCATATTCATCACTAGCATGAGTAAAGATTTAAAATTTACTTAAAAAAAGGGTAACCTGAATAATTGAGAAATAAGACTGATGTTTTCAATTATGAAAGCAATTACTTCTTGCCAACAAATGTTTCCTGAAAAACCCAATACTGTGTTAGATATTTGATAGATTTTTTTTAATAATATCAATAGAATGGAACAAATTCCTCTCAGCTGAGGATTCAGCTAATGTGCTATCCAACTCATGTGTTTAGACTTAATTTTAAACATAGCTGTAAAACACGAAATTCTGAAGCAGAGGCTCGTAACATAAAGGTCTTCAATTACATCATAGGGCTGTGTAGCAATCTTATCCTTTCTTATTGCCAACCCAGGGGACTGCAAACTGAGAATGAATATTGCGTGAAGGGATTTAGGATTTCTTTGCATTAGAGGGCACAATCACTACACATTCTTTTCTAACGTACAGTGAAATATTAGTAAGCAATAACAACTCGTAACCAAGAAGGGCAGTGTTTTTTCCCTCGCCAAGAAGCAAAATTTTGTGCAAGCTACTACCAGATCTGTGACCTTTTAAAATTTGCATTTATTTACAAATTTATTGTCCACCTTCATTTAGTCCTAAAGCACTGTTGTTTACAGAGGGCAGCATCTCAAAGGGATATAAGTGCATCAAAGCTTGAGGCTGAATCATGCTCCTAACTTGCACTCAAACAAAATCAGGGGTTTAAAAAAATAAAAAAAAAGAAAACCCAACACATTTCATCAAAGCCATAGCAAATCTAATTCTGTCTTATAAATAAAACAACAAAATAAAGATGATACACAACCCAAAAATACTTAAAACAGCTCAACGCCACTGATGTTCAGGGCAGTGTGGAAGTCTGCAGCATTCTTCAAAATGTTTCTTAAAGAAACTGATCATGAAAATGCATCAAAAAATTTTTGCAATATTTACTTCTGTGTATATATATATCCTTAAGGGACAGGTATCAGCAACAAAAACAGAGGTGGGAGACACACAGGTTTGTAGAAACCTATCGAAACACAACTGTGCTTCCAATTAAAAGCAAATTTTAAAACAAAAGGGTTGTGATACATAATTCTAAGGCTTATTTCAGGACATTACTTTAAAAGAGTTCTTCAGGGAAAGATGCCTTTTTGGATAATGCCAAGACAGTGTCTTTGTCAAATAAATCTTCAATTAAAAAAAAAAAAAAAAAAGAAATCACATTACAAATAAGCCTGTACATCCTGAATTGAAGATAAAGAGAGCTAAATAGTAGTTACATACCAGCTTTATATGATATAGTGTTGGTTTTTGCCACAGACTTTTTATAACATAAATATACGGCTGAGCCCCACTGTAAAATAGAAGAAGTTATTGGATTACGTGATGAAGTATGACAAAACGACGTAACAGACTGGAGGAAATCCTCCTCTTCCTTGTTTACAAAGAACCTTAATCTACACACAAAAACATGGAGCATACAGGGATTTTGGGCCTGCTATGCTACCCTTTCTGAGAACAGCCACAAACAGATAACTGAAAGAGAAGTACTGCGGTAGCTCTGAGCTAACCAATCCATGGCAGGCATCAGCCTAACCTCTAAAAGAGAACTGGCTTATAGACTTATAGAAACATGAGATCTATAAATTATTCTCCAAAATATTTGTTAACCCAACTACAGAATTTTAAGTACACTGTCATCCATATAAACATTTACACTTTTCTCCATTTTGTTAAACTTCTGGCTTAAACATGCGTATAGACAGATACACATACATACACACACTCATTTATATATACACACAGAGCACGCAGTAACTTCTGTTATTAAGTACATTTGTATATCACTTTAGAATGGAAAAGATCGGCACCCTTTAAAGGCACACAAAGCTTTTATGGATGGGAGAAAAATATGGCGATTTCCTAAATACAGCACTCCCATGACCCAGTCAATACAGGGATTGGTAGAACTGAAAAATTCATTTGTTAATGCCTACGGGCATTTATATATATAAAAACAAGTACAGATCAATTTCCATCATCTTTTTTGCATGATATCACACGCACACGTGGTCAGCATCTTCAACAGCATACTGACTTTTGAGGACCCTACGAAAGCCAGCATATAGGCTGCAGATTCAACCAGGAAACCTAAATATTAAGTTCTGTAAAACAAAGTGCTGTGATGCCTTGGTATTTTAGCAGGTCTGGCTTTGGAACCATATTAAGAATTTAAACAGGCTTACAGACAACAGCCTCCAACATCCCTCACATGCAACTTTCTTCAGAGAAAAAGTTTGTGAAACTACTGAGGAGAACGACACATAAAATAGCATTGTAGGTAAGGGGAGAGTTTAAAAACAAAACAGGAGGCAGTTGTTAGATACAGAACTCCCATCACAAGAGTAAAATCAGTGTCAGAAACTGCCTCACCTGTAAAACCTCCAGTTATACACATGGTAACACAACAGGTTTTAGGGACTAACCCAAAGGTCCTGACATTAGCATTTCTAAGTCAGCACTAAGAAGACTATTTGCTCCAAGACTTCCAAAAAGACTTTGTTACAAGCAGGAACAAAGAAACGTAATCTCTCAAGATTTTATTTATCTTTGGGGAGTGCTCATCAAAATTTTTCACCAGGTACTCTGAGAACCGTCACAAATACTCCACAAACATCACTGAATATCAACTGTTCAAAATCCAGATTTTGAACCTTACCATACTATTATTAAGATTCTTGTCAACCTTGCAGAAAGTATGTGGAGGGGTTTCTCCTTTACTTGGTATGATTATACATATATCCGTAACAGCCAACGTGTTTTGTGTCATGTTTTCGGATGCTCTTCGGTAAGTGATGTACACTCTTTGTGATGAGGCGCTGCCACTAATGTTAGCAGGCCGACCATATGGAGTAGTTTGAATTATTTCACAACCTTGTTTTACTCTTTCTTTCCCATCATATAAAACCCTAGTTAAAATGGGATGAACAAAAGTCAGAAGGCACATATTTTTTTTTAACAATTTGAATACTAATACTATACTAAGAATTATAACTGAATAGTACTAATTTAACAGAAGTTAAATTGTCTTAACTTGTCTCATCTCTGATCAAAACATTTTTCCTGACAAGTTCAAGTCCCACTATATCAAATTGCATTCTAACAGAAAAGCTTCATGATGAAACTATAATAGTTTTCCTCATGTATAATCTCTTTTAAGTATTTTGTTTAGTGCAAAATAGTGTTATTTTCAATTCTATTAAAGATTCATTGTCTGATCCTAAGGACATCATACAACTCACCTCTTCTCAATCTGTATTAAATAGTTTAAGCACCTTATCTCAACCAAAATATATACATTGACAGTTATAAAAGGCTTTGAAAATTATAAAAGTCTTTGAAAACTCCAAAATGCAAAGGATTACACTTGTCACTAAAATCCACTCAGCATGCAATTTTCCTAACATATTGGGTTACAGTATGCTCAAGTCAAGAAATACCTTCCTGGTTAGAGTTTTGCCTTATGTTAAAAAAGTATGTTTTTTTTACCTCATTACTCAAATAAAACTGCCAAAATCACTTACTGATTACTTACTGAAAAACCACTCACCCCAAATCAGTAAGTGGGGGCTTATCCCTTCCTCGGCGATAACACAGGTATATTTGTGGTCCTACAAGACTGCCATTATTAAGATCTGCAGACAGTCCTGAGGGAGTAACATCTATGCATTTATATCCCTGAGGAACTTCCTCCCCCAGAGATTTATTAATTACTGTTACATCTGTAATAGGTTCTTTTGGTTTAGCGATTTTATGGCAAGCATCATTGAAGTGGATTTCTTCCTCTAGTGGTTTTGAAATATCTGTTAATCCTGCGACAACAAAGTAGTCAGCAACACGAGCCCCTTTGTCTTCCATCTTCCATTACAAGACGTTATAACTGGCAAGAAAGAAATACATATCAGTATTTTTAAAAGGATATCAGAAATTATTAATAAAGTTTTGTTTATTTTTAAAAACAGAAAATTTGCAGTAATATAAATGAAAACACAATATTTTGCAGAAGAATACAGAAGAAATAGAGAGATCCCTCATCAGATCATGTAACATTTTTCATTTGTAATCATAATCTTTCCAATTTGGAATTCTCAGCCACAATCAGGAGAGTTAATTGTTAAGTCTTGGAACGGAAAACCCAAGTGGTCTCTTTTTGTTCATCTACACACTAGAGTAGCTGAACCAACAGGAACAGTAACAGCAAAATACTGTGCAAAGTTCTGCAAATAGTTCACTACCTAAAGCCCACAGCTGAGCCAAAAAGCAGTTCTCATGTACTTTGCATATAGTCTATTACTGCACTCTATTCACCATGACAAGGGATCTTCTAAGGCATGATCTACAATTAATTTGCTTCCTGAATATTAAACATATACGCAAAGGCTGTCTTGATTATCCTAAAGAAACAATTATAATATTTGCAGCCATCTCACCCTATGGGATTTTACATCAGATACCAAGGCCAGATCTTCTCGGGAGTATTTTTGCAGGCTAAAAGTTGATACCATTTTATTTTAGAGTGCTTTGGGATCCAGATCCTTGATATACAACCCATCCATAGCCAGCAATATACCAGGTTTTATACAAGACATTTAAACCAAGTCAACTTCAATGGACTACACACCACTGTGAAACAAAAACATTCAAGACCACATGAAGTTTTTTGTAATAAAAGGAATACAGTCTTGCTGTTCCAGCCAAATTGTGTTGGGAAATTACATTCTTTCTTCCTGGAACGTACCGATAAAAAAAATTCTTTACATATGAACTTTTTCTGTACAGTGGGTTTTTTTTGCAGTGTTTGCCACAAATGTTATAAATTAACTTCAGCACAGGACAAAGTAATATCTGTAGGATGAAAAGATGGCCTTGCAAACAACGCAGTGCGCTACACATCAGGAGATTCACATTCCTCTTTGTCAGAGACTCTTGAATACCTTTGCAAGTTACTTAAACCCCATGTCTTTTTTCATAACTTGATTTTGCAAATAAAGAAAATACTTTTGGCTCTTTCACGGAACATTGAGGAATGAGCTAAAAACTAAGCTCATCTAAGCCACCCATATGTACTGGAACCTTGCTAACGTAGCTTCAGGAAGTTTAGTGTCATCAAGTTCCAGACTTTTTAAACCAGACAAGCTTTTTAAGACTCCTTTTTGTTGAATGAATTTTGCTTGTGTATAAAATTTTATTGCAAGAGAAACTGTTACAACACCGGAGTTTCAAGAGCTTGCTAACATTCAGAAACTCAACAAACAGAATTTAAAACAGTTTGAATGGTTAGTACAAAACTTCAGTTTTCATGCCACCTTATTCTAGTTGCTTTATATGTAGAGCAAAAAATAAAAGGGACAAAGTATTAAGCCTTATCAAACTTCACACCATCATGACTCTTGGATTTTAAACAAATCTTCATTAAAATGAGCAAAATAAATTTGGACATCTCTCACTGGTAATTAGGGGAATCACGTCCTACGCTGACACTGTGCATTTAATCAAAAATGTTCCAAGCTGACCTCAGATTTCCAGCACCTGTTCAAGAAGCAAGAATGCCAGTCTGTGCCTGATCACCACTATCAACCTCATCCACCAGTGCAAGAAAGGTAATTCCATCTTCTTGCTCGTATTTTGTAGGTTGGTTGTATTTTGCTGGAATAACTGACTTGACTAGCTTCTAAAATCACAAGGAAATGAGTAACAGTTTTTATTTTAAGGTTAATTACATCATTCAAGAAAACATCACGAAAAAACCCCAAACTATCCAACCTTTATTTCTTTCTGTATGGTTAATAAGCAATATGGGACACTTTAGAACACATGATTAACTGGGAAACAATCATCAGTATACAGCAGTGTAACAGTTTGTAAATAACTGTTCAGTTTGTTTTCTGAGAGAAGAGTGAGTTTAGTTACAAAACTAAGCTTAATTTAACCTAAATTCCATTATTTCAAAAACATCTGGAATATGTTACTCAATTAGCAGTATACAAGAGTAATAACTACAAACTCAAGCTTCTCCTTGACTGATATATCCAGTGACACAAATTCAACCACTACATATGCTGCCTATTATTTCACTGTACATCTGGCTTCAGCAAATCCAGGACAGGATAGCAACAAATGCATGGAGAGGTAAAGAAGTTTCATGAATCATCTTTAAACTCCAACATAAGACCAAACACTAACATCTTTTAGCTAACACAATTGAAGTTCTAAATATTTTGTAACATTAACAATACTCTGTAAAACTTAACTACAATATATACATTTTAACTGTCATGAAAACTTTCTATCTTTATCAACCAGCACTCACTCTAAACCAATAGATAAGCTGTAACAATATTTTAAAAGCTACAATACACCAGGCAAGCAAATAAGTTAAAAAAATAAATATATACATCAGAGTGTAAGCAGTTGCTTTTAAAAAGTATCATTTGGAAGTGCATCAAGAAGTGTAGAAAGAAAAAAATGAATACTTCATAACATAGATCAGAAAAGAGCTATGGTCAAAGACTGCTCAGAAGATAAGAGGGTTTTTATAGATACATATATGTAAAAAAATAAATGTAAACCCCCAAAAATTCCTCAAGAACTGCTGAGGAAGAAAGGGCTGGCTAAGTAAAAGCTACCAACCAAGCAATTTAAACTCAATGATTACCCCATCATTAGCTCTGGTGAAAAAGTCTTCCATTAAAAGACTAGAGAAGGTAGACTGAAAGCTGGCTAAGTCTTGCACTCTTGTGTATGAAAATACCCCATAATCACAGGCTCAGTACAAAGCAGCACAAACACTACAAAACTGAACTTTGCCTTAATGAGTCTGGTAGAAAAATATTAAGTTTTGTTTTGTTCCTTTTCTCATTAGCATTACTTCACAAAACTACACCAATTTCTGGAGTGCTTCACAATGCCTTTTAAGTTGAAAAGAAAACACTATTTTAGTAACCAGAAATTATACAAACTATGACTTGTTAAAATTGCAAATAAGCCTTATAACTTCAGTGCTAAATGCAGCACGCTATTCCAGTTTAATTAGCCAAGACAGCACTACAAATAAACAGAAAGACATATATACATTTTACCGAAGAATCACACCGATCTCACAATTTAAGCCTCACTATTAATTATTTCATATTGAGTTTATACAAAAAGTCTTAAATTCAAACATTCATTTATTCCCAAAAGCACTTTCAAGAAAAACTGGGACAAGCTCTCCTCATTTAGAGCTAGTTAAAATTAGAATCCCCTACATACAAACACCTGCTATCACACAAATTTACTTCCTAAGGTTATAGCAAGTAGTACACAAGTCAGCCAGACTTCCATAATTTAATGCAGCTTTTACAGAAGGGAGGAAAAACCCTATGATGCATCTAGCTGATGATGCATCATCCCTTCAGATCTCTTGCCTTCTAATACAAAGGCTTGCAGCCAAAAACGGGATAAAGCGCAGAAGATACCAAAACAACTCAGTGGTATTTTATTCAAGCCGACTTAGACTTTACTAGAGCTACTGTGATACTCAAATTTTCAAAATCTGTTTACTCTAAGAGCAGGTGTATGCAAAATTTATGTTAACAGACCCCAGAAAGAAGGTATATAATGTGAGCTAATTCTTTGACAAATAATCATTCTGTGAAAAACAATTTCACATAATCTGACTAATCTGAATAATTTCTGTAGAAACTCTTACCATGAGGGTATTCCAAAGCATGTTATAATTATATACATCGCACAGTACTGCAAGTCAACTTCTGGGGCAGGGAATCACAAAACAGAAACAAAAAACAAAACCACAACGGAAACAAAAGTCCCACCACATGAGTGTTGCATGAAGCAGCAGGTCCCAGGTGAAACTCAGCAGCAGTAATGGTGCCACACTGAGAAGCAGCTACTATTGCTTCTCTACGCTTCAGTCATCTGGGGATGAAAGGCTGCACTTTGAAGCCAATGCCATGGGATCATAAATATAACCTCTTACAAAAGGCCCAGGAAACAAGTGCAACATAAGGTCTTTGGCAATCATTTTTAATGGACTGCATAGAATTAATGCCACTATAAATTAAACGCTATAACATCAGTGAGAAACAAAATATCCCTACAAATAGCACACTGACTTGCAAGAACATATTAAAAAACACACATGCAGACTATATAAATGTGGGAGGAAAGAGGGCTTTTTGCCATTTCTAAAAATATGGGAACAGGGGAAACAATCAGATAATCCTGCCACGGATCCACAATCTATTAGCTTGAAAGACAAAGGGTAAACTCATTTTCATTGTTTATTCAATTTATTTTTTTAATATCATTGTATTTCTTCATAAACATTTATGAAATACTAATTAATAATTTTCACTAACTGTCACTGCTACTTAATTCATAGATGCTGGCATTTTAGCAACTGTGCAAGAGATTAATCTGAAAAATTAGCTTTTTGATCTAACACTACAGATCTATTGCTAGTGTTAAATGAGAACTAGTCTGCCGCAAAGTGCAAAACAATCTGCTATTATAAGAAAGATGAAGATGTTTACAGGAGTTCCATGTGGCTGACCCTTTTGTGATAAATAAAATACCAGTGGGACTTAGACCTCACAACTAAATTCAGAAAGAGCAGCACATACACTAAGTTACTTTGCTTCCAACAAAGTTTTTTCTATTTGCTGTAAGCTATCCACAAGTCTCACATATAAAGCAAACAAAAACTGAAAGGCATGGTTTTATACCAGTTCACATACTTTTGGATAAAAACGACTAAATCAGTGTCCAAGCTTTTTGAACATATCACATTTTTCATTCAAATACTGTAAAAGGGAGGTACACATCAGCTTTTTCCTCACCACATGACCAGAACTAATGCAGATGTGCCATATATT